GCACTTGGGGTTTGATTCTCGAACTCAGACACAAGGGGCGATTCCAGCCATTTGCTCTTTACAGCAGCCCAGGCCCATTCGTCAAGCTGCAGGAACGAAAAAACCCCTACAATGACTATGGTTAAAAACATATTTGGGATTTCTGCCAAATATCTCCAAAGTGATAATGGTACGGAATAAGTTAATACTTCTTTTACCACTTTCTGTCATTCCCTCGGTATCCAACAAAGATTCTCTTGTCCCTAGACCCCTCAGCAAAACGGTCTTGCTAAATGCAAACATCGCCACATTGCCATCATGACCCGTATTCTCCTCCCCACTTCTCACATGCCTCTCAATCTTTGGGTCAAAGCTGCTCTAACATCGGTTCATCTTATTAATCTCCTTCCTACTCCCATCTTAAACTGGTCTACCCCTTACTCCGTTCTCTTTTCCAAACCTCCCACTTATTCTCATCTTCATGTCTTTGGGTGTTCTTGTTTTCCTTTTCTTGGTTCTTATGTTAATCACAAGTTACTGAGTCGTTCCTTGGAATGTGTTTTCATTGGCTATAGCCTCCATCACAAGGGTTATCGTTGCCTTGACCCATCCACGGGTCGTGTCTACACATCTAGGCATGTTATTTTTAATGAAGATTGTTTTCCTTTTACTCAGTGGCAGGTATCTTCCTCATCCCCTTATGTGGCATTAGACCTTTCTCAGCTTACTGCTGTATTACTGCCTCTACCACCCATGGCCCACTTGCCCATTGATCCTGTGCAGCCCACTTCCCCATCAGGACAACTTATTGATCCAGCTTCTCTAGGCCCAATTTGCCACCCCCCCCCCGTGGGCCCCCATTCCTCTATAGCCCAGTCAGACCTTGCTAACCCTGCCTCCCAGTCAGCCCATATTGATGCACCCGCATCCTAGTCCGTCCCCACTGATTCCGTGACCTGGGCAGAGCATGTGTCCACATCAGCCCCGATGGGTCCCATTGCTCTAGCAGGCCCAGCAGGCAGTTCCATTGCTGAATTGCCCGACTCCTATGTTGCAATTGGGCATGCGCCTCCTGTCACAGCCAACCCGCCCGCACCTCACCCGATGATTACCCGATCCTGCATTGGCACACTCTATCCCAAAATTCGCACTGATGGGACTATTAGGTAACCCATTTCTCGTGCTCTTTTAGTAGCTGTCACTGATCAAGTACCGACTTGTTTTTCTTAAGCTCAGAAACATGTTGAATGGCGTTCTGCCATGATAGAAGAAATTAATGCTCTTATGAAGACTAATACTTGGACTCTTGTTCCTTCTACCCTGTCTCAAAATACAGTCGGCTGCAAGTGGGTCTTTCAGATTAAACGTACTTCTTATGGTTGTATTGAGCGTTACAAGCCGTCTTGTTGCGAAGGGTTTTCACCAACAACTAGGTATCGACTACGCCGAAACCTTCAGCCCTGTTGTCAAACCTGCCACCATTCGCCAACTCAACGTCAAAAATGCTTTTCTCCAAGAAGATGTCTACATGGCTCAACCACCAGGCTTTGTTGACCCCACCCGACCCAATTATGTTTGTAAGCTTCACAAGGCCTTATATGGCCTCAAGCAGGCACCCCGTGCATGGTTCCATCGCATTAGCTTGTTTCTCCCTTCCTTCGATTTCCAACACAGCTAATCTGACTCTTCTCTTTTATTTTTTGGCATGCCTCTTATGTTATATTTTTATTGTTATATGTTGATGACATCGTCGTCACAGGAAATGATTCCAAGTTTCTTCATCAATTCATCACTGCATTGGGCCTCGACTTTGATATCAAGATCTTGGCCCGCTTCATTTCTTTCTGGGCCTCTAAGTTACCACCAAATCTGATGGCCTTCATATCTCACAGCTGAAATATGCCCCCGACCTACTACAGCATCATGGCATGCTCCACTGCAAACTTGCCAACACTCCCTTGGCCACAAAAGTTCCTTTGTCCGCTTCCGACGGTGTGCCCCTTGAGTCTCCTTTGGACTACCGTGAGATTGTTGGCAATCTTCAGTACTTGACATTGACTCACCCAAACTTATCCTTCGAGGTCCAATCCATTGCTCAGTTCATGGCTGCCCCTCGCACCTCTCACCTTGTCGCTGCCAAGTAGATCTTACGTTTTGTCAAAGGCAAGCTCGACTTTGTTCTCTCTCTTAGCCCGCAACCGTCCACCGCCCGCCTCAGTGCCTACTCCGATGCAGATTGGGCGGGCTGCCTCATCTATTTGGGCTCCAATTTAATCTCCTGTTGTTCCAAGAAGCAACCCACTGTTGCTCGTTCAAGTGCAGAATCCGAGTATCGCTCCCTTGCGCACTCATGTGCTGAGACTACCTGGCTCTCCTATCTACTCTCTGAGCTTGGTGTTTCTCTTCACTTTCCTATTCTCCTTCATTGTGACAACCTGAGTACGACATACATGGCCGCCAATCCTGTCTTTCATGCTCGGGCGCGTCATATCGAGCTTGACTACCATTTTGTCCGTGAGAAAGTCGCTCTCAGGAGTCACCAAGTCCGTTATATTCCCTCTATTGATCAGCCGGTTGATCTTCTTACAAAGGCCCTACACAAGCCACACCATGCTCTCTTACGATCCAAACTTGTCTAACTAGGGTTGTCCAGTTTGTGGAAGGGTGTCAATCCAGCGATCACAGCCACTATTTACTCCACTGATGAATCTCTAAATGATGCTGCTTGATATCATGATCTCCAAATGATTTGCTACGGTTAATAGCCCTTTGTATTTACCAAAATAGTTCCAGTTAAAGTCAACTATATATATATATATATATATACACACACAATTGTATCCGAATATAATATCAAGAAATCACATTCTTTACATGTTTTGCTATCCCCAACCAATTACATGATTACACCTTTTATTAGTTGATTGTAATTGATTTGGAGTAGTCTCCAAGTAACCTAGTTTTCCTAGTTAAGCTTGTAATATCTCTATAAATACTTAGCCTTTTGGCTCTATCAATTATACCCTAGAATTATTCTTCTCAACACAATCTCTAATTTCACACATTTGGTTCGAGATCTAACTTTTAGGCGCAGGTGATTCCAACCAGAAGGAAAATTCATCCTTGCGTTGTATTCTTAGTTTGATGGGAAAATGTGTTACAAAAGCTTTTGATCCCAGAGCTTAAAATGAAAGAGAATATTCATATTGATTTACAATGCGTTTAACAAACAAGCGTAAAATTTCCTGTGTCTGGAATACATTTATGTATACGTAGAAAGTCAAATGAGACTAGTCAAAATTGATATATTCACACGATGTATAGAAAGTTCTACATGTGGTTGTTTTTTTTTTTTTTTTTTTTTTTTTTTTGGGTGGGTAGAGTGATATTTTGTGTAATGCTATATCTACTCTGCAGAATGCAGCATATTCACATTCGCATTTCCACTGCTCTGAATAATGCTGTACAATTTCATGTTGTAAAGTTACGGCGTTGTGGCAAATTGTCAGGCTGCCTGAAGAATACCTTCCTTCTCAACACTCCCTGGAGAAGACTTCATCACTTTAACCCTAAATGCGACCTGCACATTACTTGGATGCTAAGAACCAGCAAAGAGCAAGTATATTTTGTAACCAAAAGAAGACAAAAGGAAAAAGAAAATCCATCAAGCATGTTACTCTGTGTATGCATATCACAGATTCAAATGTGATTCAGGAATTGCATGATTGAACACTACACAGCATGTTGAAAGAACAAATAAACTGGCAAACTATACAAGCTCTTACTCTATAGTTTTAGACACTGAATAAAAGACGAGAAAAGCCAACTAAAAGTTTGAAACACAACTTGTTAGATATACAAAAAAAAATTCATTTCTTTTACAATTCCTGTAGGAAGTTGCCTGACTTCTCTAGATCCCAAAGTTTTTATTTATTCATGCAGCTGTCTAGTCTGAACAGATTTAAGCAAACCATTTCAGTATGAGGGGGTAAGATGAAATGCTACTATTAAAGTTATATTCATATTATTTGGAGATTTTCTTTTTCTTTTTCACTGCAAAGAGACTTTGTTAGCGTTTTTACAACTTACTTATTTAGTGAATGTCAGTCAGACAACATGCACAATGCACACAAAATTTAACAATAGTCTGACATATATTCAGTGTGAGTTGTGCAGCAAATTCTAGGGTAAGAATTGTCTATTACCTTCTGAGAACCAATCTCAATAGCATCTGATGGATGAAAACGAGCAGGAAAATTTGGAGGTACCCGGTATCGCTTCCCCTCAATACTGCACATTCAGACATAAAATTGTAAGGGGAAAAGGAGGGAGGCAATTACAAGTTGAGTTACCCGCAGAAAAGAGGGTCAGCAATTTGTTTCAACTAATTTAGCCACCAAAAAGACAAAAAAAACATCCCTACTTACTCGGCAATCCAGGTACCATGTTCGCTCCGCAAATCAGTCAGGTAGAAGGCACCATCCTTGTAGCTGATACGAGCATGCATCTCCGAAACCTGAGATAAAAAATACCTCAGTACTCAATCTAGAAAATCATAAAAGTAAGAAATAGGTTTGTTTCTGGAGATAAATGTAAAGTGAACAAAACCAGCCAAATCACCTGGGGCTTTGGTATTGCTATTGATATTCCTGAAACATCCCCATCCGGTGCACTCCTACAGCAAGAATAAAACATCATAATGAACCCGTAAAATGGTAAAAATATCTTTTTAAAAACATAAATTTCAGAATCTAAGGTTTTGATGGTTCAGTTCCATGCAACCATATGGTATTAAATGGACATGTGTGCGTTTTAGGGGAGGGGAACAACGTATAATAGGCATACCCGATTATGCAGGGGTTTTTCTCATCTCTGTTCAAACAAATAAGTTGCGAAGCATCATTGTCTTGTCCACATGGTATAAGATACCACCTACAAGACCATAACGAATGTCAAAACTACCATGGAATACCAAATTAACTGAAAATATTCCAGGGATGACAGTGACAGACACTAAGATCAAAGACTTACTCTCCATCAATAGCACGCTCCAGTGCATCATCATCCTCAAACCATGTTCGTAACTGGTCACTTGCCTTCATATAAGTTGGCCACATATTAGCTGCTAAATAACAATGCAATCTAATAGGTCGATCTTAAAACTAAGAAATGAAACAACAGTTTGTGTATCTAGTGACAAACACACTGCTGATTGATGATACTTTGAACAACATACTTTATCTGAGAGCCTGCAACTGGGTGACCTTCCTTCAAGTTTTGAGCTGCAAAGAAAATTCAATATTCGGTTTGTCAAAAGAATTGAAAAAGATAAATGCAACAGTACTAGTTCTGGGAGTTATTTGTCAATATTTCCCTTCAATTGAAAATTAATAATAAGGAATCTCAAGAATGCAGATTCTTCCAATGTTTACAACAACGTAGTGATTCAAGCAGTGAATTGCCTTAGTTTCCTGAAATTCATGTTGTACAGCATTAAAGTGCGATACTCTAAAAGCGGAATGAGTACATATACAAGAACCTTTGTATGTTGTGAAAAACGCATGAAGATCTATGATCTAAGCTTTGACAGTTCTTCGTCCAAAAAAAAAAAAGCTTTGACAGTTCAAAGTTGTAATAAGATTTTTATAATTAAAAAATAATAATAATCAAGAAATAAACAAAACATACAGAAAGTTACAGAAGTTGTCAATCAAAATCTTACCTGTTACCACCTAAGACCCAACTAAGCATCAACGGCATTGCCTTATCAATGAAAACTCTCCCACCAACTCTTCCTGGATGTGGTATCCGGAACTTCGTCAAAAACTACAAGGGTTTAAGCCAAAGTCAGTATGCATGCAAGACTTCCATTCCATCATCAATTAGTTTCATTGCTTTTCAGTATGTACTTCACTTAATAAAAGGTCTTACCGACAAAGGACCGAGTCCCACACCCAGATAAGCCTTGTAAGTCGAAGCCATTAATGCAGCCATCCTGGCCATTCCATGAATAATGGCAACCCGCAGTCTTCTAGAATTCTCATAGCTGAAGGACAAAGAAAAAAGAAGGTAAGGAGTCATCAAAGTGCACTTCCTCAACTCACCTAAGTCTTCACAACAATTACACATGTTTCATCCATATATATCTTGTATATATCCTTTTCATTTTAAGAACACTATGATTTCAGATGCATAGGCAACTTCATCCGCTTTTTTCGATATTCTTTTAGATTATATGGCAAGAAATAGCATGGGGTTACCTTCTTAAAGAAGAAGCAACATCAACAGGAGTTCCCATTTCGCTACTTTTCTTCCATGCTTTATCAAGCTCCAATGCAAGTTGATAACCATCCTGTCATGATAGGGTCAAAGAGGATTTAACTCTTGAAGTGATTATTTCTTGGTCAATACCCTAGTGTTAGTTCATAAGAAGTAATGAATTTAGCAAAAACTCAACAGAGATTTCAAAGGACATACGATAGACTAAATTTCACTGGAAAAGAAAAACAAACATGCAAATATTCAGGAACAAAAAAAAACAAAAAAAACAAAAAAAAAAAAATCTGGATGATGAATAATGTTTGATGCTAAACCAAATATAATGCAATGCATACCTCAATGGCCATGCATCCACCTTGACCCATATTTGGCTGCATAGCATGAACAGAATCCCCAAGCAAGGTCACATGACCCTTTCCCCAAGTTAAAATGGGTGTCCTATCATATATGTCACGACGCAGAATTGCATCTTCCTCTGTGGTAAGTAACAAATCAATCACATTATCACACCAGCCCTCAAATATTTTAAGCAGCCTTTCCTTTTTACCTGCCAAGCAATAGACAATAACAAATGAATTGTACGTTTTTATCATCATAAAGAGTGAAAGGCCACACATATATCACCATCTGACATTTTCAACTATACAAGGATGGCTTATTAATCTTTCCTAACTCTGTCAATTATAAAATGGCTAAATCCTCTGTAAAAAATGTGGCATTGAACCCCATATTAATTGTGAGGCATTTAAGATGAAGACAAAAGGGCTAGAAAAATGATATTACCTCTCACCAAACAATAAGAAAATTGGGATCACAAGCATGAACTCTTAGCTGACAAAATTGTTTACTAATTAATTTTATGGATACTAGAATTAACCCTTATTTTCAATGGAAAGGTACAGTGAACTTTTATAAAATGAAAATGGTCTGCTCACATGATATCAGAGCATAACTTTTCCTTCAGGTAGTTTATTATACCCATTTAGAAGTTTCTAGGTTGATTTGTTTGTCTTAATGAGAGTGTGTGAGTACAAGCACGGTGTGCATGTATCAAACAAAAAAGGCTGAGCATCTTAATCAATACCGTTGGGGTTATCAACACCACCAGGTGATTCCTTGTGAAATGCATACCATTGCATTTTGCCTCCGCCCACATCTGAAGAAACGAAGTATTGTTTGTGCCCCAAAAATACTCGGTACCTTCAAAAGATAAGTTTAAATTTAAGTCTTGAGGCATGATACAACCTGACATATAAGAAGATAATACAATTGTACAAATTCCACTAAAAAAGCCATATTTGAAAAAATAAAAGATCAAACATACCCTACGGAATTAATGTCAGCAGGAACAAAATCTGCTATACCAGTATAACAAGTATAACCAGAGTAAACAGCTTCGTTTAATCCAAACAAGTTCTTCCTCACCTATTCACAAGAAACAAGTAATTTAAGTTCTTGTAATTTCCAAAGTAAATATACTCTGCAGATTTTGACCTAAAGATGGTCTGCCAGTAGAAAATATTCCATATGTGTGCCCAGAATTTTGAGCCTCACAATATAGATTTCTGCATAGGGACTAGTTAGTGATGTAATATCAGAACTTTAAAAGCTACTGAAGGAGAAAAATACATACACATTTTAATATTGTGAACTATGGACCCTAATCTATAGCATACTGTAATATTACACATTTTAACCATGTGAACTCAGAGTATAGTACTACCTTTGACCATATACCATCCGCTCCAACCAGCAGATCACCTTCATAACGCTGTCCATTCTCAAGTATCACATTCACCTACAAAATGGAGAGAGGCATAAGAACTAAATACCAAATCAGATGAATCCAAAGTAGTTGAAGGACATCAAATTAGCACTAAGAAGCTGCATATTATAAAAAGAAAGAAAACAAGTTCTAATGTCACATTTCTCAGCAAGATGACAACAAAGGTATGTAACTAACAAAAAGGTAATACCACATTTTTACCTTATCTCCAAGATCCTCAAAATTAACAACATTACTATCGTTTATAATAATTTCTTCTCCAACAGCACGAGCAAGGATTTGTTGCAAGGTCATTCGGCTTATAACTCTTGTAACTGGAAGCCCTCGTTCCACTGCAGGAGTGAATGTGTCAAACTTGACATACCTGATAACCAACTAATCATCAATATATATGGCTGGCTGCACAAAATTCAATACTGATACTTTTTTTTTTTTCCAGATCAAAGGTTATTACAATAATGCTTATAGGAAACATGAAAATTGTGTTCAAATGAACAAATTTCACTTTTATAATAAAAGGCTTGATTCTGTGTAACTGAAACATTCAAACACTGATCCTGTTTATTTTCATCTGTTACTTTTGCATCAATTAACAAGAAAAGCAAAATTTCTTGTACTTCTTCTTCTCATTCAGGTGTATGGTAATTTCATTCCTTTTACTAATTTATTACAGCAACATTTCGGAAGAAAAATCATTATTTCCATTAAAGACATCAGCCTGAATTGGCCTCTCTAAGCCCGACTAACACTTCCGTTATTTTATTTGCACAGCTTAAATCGATTGCTCTTCAGTACTTTTTGAATTAACATATTCCAAATTATTTTTCGCACCCAACCTCTATTAGTTTCCTTGCTTAAAAACAATCAAAGGAAACAAATTTGGCAAGCACTATACACCTGATCACTTAAAAACACAGAAAAAAAGAAGAAGAGGAAGACAGAAACCCATATAAACCAAAAGTCCAGAAAAACATACCAAGTACCAGAAACCCCATCAACCAGGCCATTGATCCTGTCACCAGTAACACATCCAACTCTCATAACCTCCTCAGCAACATCCAAATCAATGGCTTCCAAAGCAGCCAATGCATTGCTCTGTATCTGAATAGGACCTCTATACTGTCCTTCTCCTCTTACAGCACTCAAATCCTTCTCAAACACCACCACATCAAACCCCTTCTTCTTTGCTGCCAAAGCAAAAACCAGTCCTCCAATTCCTCCCCCAGCAACCAGAATTCGAAGCTTCTTTGGTTGAGTCGATGCGTGTGCACTGGGGGCCTCTGTGGGTGAGGCCACAGTAGCTCTCACCTCTGTCAAACACTTCTTCTGCCCACTTCTTGTTCTGCTTCTCAAATGGTAGTCATAGTGAATATAAGGTGAAAATTCAAGTGGGGAGTCCTTGTTGATGGGGATTGGGAAGTGGGTTCTTGAGAAAACTGCTGCTGAGAGGCTCATGGAGTTGTAAAACAGAGTAGAAGCCATTGTTTGTGCTCTAGCTGAGAAACGAAGGAAAAAGAAACTGAAAAAGAAATAAAAATGAAAGCTTTTGGCTTTCCTCTGTGGAAAGAAAGAGACTGAGTTTGAGGATTGAGGAAGTGGGAAAATATGGGGGGAGTCAGATATAGATGATTGGGAGCCACACCCTCGAAGGATTGAAATTGTCCACCAATCATGGAGATTCTCGAGCCATGTGGCACTCTCTTGGCGAACCAACTCCACTTTCGCAAAATGGAAAAATATCTTTTTTGTGGTGGTGGTGGTGGTTATTACTTTCTTTCTTCTTCTGTTTTTCGGTCGAAAGGTGGTTATTAACTTACTACTTGGGAAATCTGTGGCTTTAGATTTTCAACTCCAAATTTTCTGTGTGCTTGTCCTGATTGTAAACTGAAATTGATGGTTGGATTTAAAAAATAAAATACATTGTAAATAATGTAATATGGATACTCTCTCTCATTTCTTGTAAAGAGATACTCATTTTTTCTGCGAATCATAGTTTGATACATATTAAAAAAATTCATCACAAACACAAAAGGAAAAACTTATACACACATATTACACAAAATGCAAGTCATGACTCGACTTACCAAAATATAGAGCATGCTTCTATGGCATTTCGGAAATGTTAGAACCATAGTTTTGTGAAGGCTTGCATGACGACAATGGGATCACTTTAACTTGTTAGGTTCAATTATTGTGTTTTTAAGACTTGTTCATCCAAAGAGGGAAGAAGGTTTTATCAAGTAGGTAAAATATTACCAGCCAAATCCATTACTATTATTAAAAGAAAGAAGATTAAATCAATATCATATGATGATGATTATAAAAATACTCAAGAAAACTATATAAAATTGAAGCGGCGGTGTGATGGTAAGAACACAAATATATTTAATGAGAAAGTAGGGAGGAGAGGGGGGGTGGTGGAGTGGACTCTGAGCGTTGTGTTTGAGTTTGAGTGTGGTGATCAAATTCTGGTTTTGATTGGTCCGGTGTCGCTTTAATTCCGTTAAACGACAATGTCATTCGTTGCTGCCGGGGCACCACTGCTGACTCAGCTTAGACCATGGTGGAATACGTGGCACTCCCAGATGAACCTCTCTGTTGCCCCCCCCCCCCACAAACAGGTGGCAGGTGGTCAAGTCAACACGTGTCCCTCTCTGACATCATCACTTGCAAAATGCCCAATTCTTTTCTTTTTTTTATCTTTTTTTAATTTCCATTACTTTACTAATGGATTCCACGCGTTACATAATGACACAAAACATTATTACAATTTTTTAGTGTTTTTAATTTTGCAAGTGCAGACCTAATCTCAATCACCAGGTTTGAAACAAATGTATAATCAATCTTTGATTTGATGATTATTTTTTTTAATTTCATAGAAAATCTTCATTTTGATTTGATAAGTCAAAAGAGACACAACATATTCACAGAATTATCAAATTTGTATTGTCAGAATCACAGGACAAAAAGAAATTTAATAAGAAATTGATGGTTCCTTAATTTCAGGAATGTTGATCACATGAATATCCATGAACTTTTTGGTTTTGAATTTAAATATACAGAGAAGAATCATGGCATGTTATGGAGCTCTGTAAATAATTGTGGTAAGGTAAGGTAAGGTCTTCATCAATGGCCACCCATGGCAAACAAAGCCATTGGCCCAACCCTCTCCAAGAATGTTAATAGTTCATCATGCCTAACCTCAATTTAGGAAAAAATAAATACATAAATCTTCATGATTCATTTTCAGTTGAACTTGCTCTATTTGCGACGAAGCATGGTTCATCAGTTGGGGAAATTACTCAAAAGCTTACTCCTCCCTCTCCTCCCATTCACACACACATGGTTTCTAAATATATTATGTAATTGGAACAGCTTTTTCAATAGTGCCTATATCTGTGTATGGTAATATGGCCTGAAATAGACAAATTTGGGCATAGGCCCACAGGGCAGCTCATGAGCTTTTCAAGCTTTCTATTAGCTACCTGCATCATGTGAACCATATTAATATCCTTTGTTTTAGTGCTTCTGTTAAGCAATCAACAAATATCATTTCAACAAACCCACAAACGATAGAGGAGATTGCATTCATAAATTACGTCACGATCGTAATACAAATACAGTAACTATAAAGGCCATTATAACCATCCACAAAGGAGTTACAACTAATATGAGGAATCCAATGACAACATCAAACTCATATAGTTTATCCCCACTCAAAGCTACACAGGGTCAAAGACAATCTGACATGCCTCAAACTCAAAAGAGTTGATGCGCTTATTCAACACCAAACAACTCACACTCAAACAAAGCCAACCCAAGCACTAGATAAGAGAGAACGGTTGAAAGGGAAGAGGATAAAAGAAGAGGGGTAAGGAGGAAAAGGAGAAGAGAGGCAGGAGAGAGGAGGTACCACCTTCCCCCTTTGTTTTGCAGCGCTGAAGGAGGCTAGGGTTTGGGTTTGAGAGCCGCCCCTTGGCACCATTTGATCACAGAAAGACTTCTCTGGTCAATCAAATCATTTTGGAATATTCAATCACATCTAGGCTCCAGTCAAACATCATCACACCATGGACATTTTGGTTTAAATCCTTTTGCACCAATTATATCACTCCTCCTAACCCAAAATGGTTGATCTTAAACCTGAAATGACAGATTGTTTTGAAATAAGCATGATGTGAGCACAAAAAAAAACATGCGTAGACTGTTGTTTTGAAATTTTATACAAATTAAGAAAACAAATGTGACATAAATAGTAAAAAACATATTAGATGTACATCTATATGTTTTACAGAAGTTAGACTTGTGTACGAATGATAAATGGCGATGAGATGAGTTTCTAACTCATTTAGTTAAGAATATCCATCTTTACATCCGAGGTCTTGTGATTTTAAAAATGCAAAATTAAATTTAGATGACATTGGCCTATCCCACCACGACTTACTGCAGCCCATTCCCCGGGTGGAGGTTGTCCACATGACCATCAAGATGTCTGGTGTCTGGATCACCGACCTGCCAGCAAGACTTTCCCAGAAGAAACCGAAAATAGAAAAAGAATATAATAAAATGCTACAAAGTACATGTCACAATTGAGTAGCGCACAAACAGTACACTTGCGCAAATAGTAGGAATTCAACACCAAACTTGTTCAAAATAACCGAAATTCAGAATGAGCTCAAATTTGAACAAATGAGATACTATCATATCACTTGATGATACAAAATTTAATAAACAAATTTGGTGAGTGTAGCTATTTTAATTCAAAAAATCTGAACCGCACATTCTGAGATGAAAAAAAAAAAACACCAAACTTGTTCAAAATAACCGAATTTCAGAATGAGCTCAAATTTGAACAAATGAGATACTATCTTATCACTTGATGATACAAAATCTGATAAACAAATTTGGTGAGCGTAGCTATTTTAATTCAAAAAATCTGAACCGCACATTCTGAGATACCTTTCGGGAAAATATTTAAAACAAAAGAATTACCTACCTAGGCTGTAGCCTGTAGGACGGGGATGGGAAAGAAATAGTGAGCTATCCAAACTTGTAAATATGCGCTTAGTTGGGACAAACGATACCAAGCCTTTAATGCTCAGTTTGTCTACTTCCCCACTGTCAAACTCTTTGATTTGATTTACAAGTTTGGCAGCTATGAAATTGAAGGACACAAAGAAATAGCCACCCCGCCAAAAAAATAGACCCAAAAAGGCCAAAACTACAGCTGTGTCAAAGACAAGGCATAGTAACTTGGCCCTCAACATGTTCCTTGCTGAAAATGAGCAAAGTACACTAAGAAAAGATCATCACCAAGCCTACACTCAACAACCAGTTTTTCCACATGAAGAGAGGTTCTGTTTCTCATGATTTGGGTGCATTTCCAAGCCTAGGAGGGCCAGATTTTCATGGGGGTAGAATTGGAGGCCAAAAGGGTTGGAGCTCTGAGCGTGTGCCGTTGCCTACAAGCAGTGGACAGAGGCATGCCATCCATGGCAGCACTTCTTTGATGGGGCTGAGCAATGGTGGTAGGACTGTGCCTTCAAAATGGGAAGATGCGGAGAGGTGGATTTGCAGCCCGGTTCTCGGATATGGCTGTGAGAGCAACAAGAATGGTTCACATTCTCATGGTCATGGTCAGCAGAGGAGGCCTAAGTCCAAGAGTGGTCCAATTGTGCCTCCCGGAGCTGTATACTATTCGAATTTTTCGCCTGCAAATCCGGCATTTGATGGCTGCGGCAGCGTGAGGAATTTCGCAATCGGTTCACCATTTTCGACAGGAGTTTTGGCAGCTGATAGTGTCTCTCTTCTATATGGTGGCAGTGGAGGAATGGGAAGATCAACTAGTGCGCTTGGACTGTTAGAATTGCAAAGTGAGTTCTTCCCATCTCCAATAGTACATGTTTTTTTTTCTCTTCTTAATTTTCATATCATTATACTTTGAATGAAAAACAGTTGAACACCTAGGATGGATAATATTCCCTCGTCAAATATTTAGTATACCGTGTTGTCTGTGAATCTAAATCACATATATTCTATTAATCACAATGGTTTTGGGGGTTTAATTTTGTTTCTAGAGTTGTGCTTCTTGGGGTTTCTAAATGATTCATAACTTAATTATCAACACATTAGTCTTATATGTGAGTTTGTTACTGTGGATCAAATGCGGCAGATGAGAAACTTGATAACACAAAGTGTGAGGAACCAGCGATTTCCCGAGCTGTTTCACAACGAGATATGGGAACCCAAATAAACCCAAATGGTTGCCTTCACCACTCACCACCACCTCCCAAAAGGAGGTCATCATTTGCTCCATCTTCTCCAACTCTGCTTTCCATTGTGGAGCAGCAACGCGAACATTTTGCTAAGTTAGAGGTCAGAGAAGTGCAGGTTGACAATGGAGCCACTGGCACTAAGGGGTCAAGAAGGGGTGGCAGCATCACGAAAAGACGCCCGGATGTTTATGATTTCGACAAAATTGCTATTAAAAACCAACCTCCGTCTTTCAATATTGCAGAGGCAGCTATGAACAGTTCAAGGTATGTTCTATAAATTCAAAGTTTCTTATGCCTTTTAGCCT